GAGAATCCAAGAGACGCCAAGAGGTGTCTGACTGGAAAGAAAACATGGAGAAAGAGCAGTCCCAGGGAGAATCCAAGAGACGCCCAGAAGTATCCGACTGGGAAGACTACAGTGAGGAAGAGCTGTCCCATGGAGGAGCAAAGAGCTACCAGGAAGTGTCAGACTGGGAAGAAAACACTGAGCGAGAGCAGCGCAAAGGACAAGTGAGAAGCTTCCGAAAAGTGTCCGACTGGGAAGAATACATCGAGGAAGAGCAGTCCCGAGCAGAAGTGAAGAGCTACCAGGAAGTGTCGGACTGGGAAGAAAACCTCAAGCAAGAGCAATACAAAGAAGTGAAGAGATATAAAGCAGTGAAGAAATACATAGAAGTGAAGAAGTACAAAGAAGTGGCTGACTGGGAGAAGCTGTCCCATGGAGAAGTGAAGATGGACCGGGAAGAATCCAGCGAGGAAGAGCAGTCCCAGGGAAAAATCAGCACCTTCCAAAAACTGCCCAAGTGGGAAGAATCCAGTGAGGAAGAGCAGTCCCATGGAAATGGCAGTAGCTACCCAGAACTGACCGAGTCGGAAGAAACCAGCACGGAAGGGCAGTTCCGAGGAAAATTCAGTGGCTTCCAAGAACGACTGTCCGACTGGGAAGACTCCGTTGCTGAAGAGCTTTCCCAAGACGAAGACTCCTTTGGCCAAGAGTTTTCTGACTGGGAAGTCTACAGACCCTCAATACTGTCCCGATGGGAAGACGACAGTGACAGGGAGCTCATGCTGCAGGACTGGGAACGCATGACCATGCACAGCTTCGAGGTCAGGCCCTTGCGCCCAGAGGACGACGAGTGGGAAGAACTCAGCGTCCTCGAGTTGTCCCAAGGACAAGGAACGGAACACAGGCTGGGAATCCTTGCGGAAGAGGGGTTCCTGCTGCCCGTCCCTCGCGAGGCGTGGGTTGAGTGCCGGGTCTGTGCCTCCCCTCCCTGGCCGGCAGCCCAGACCCTCCGAGGGACTCCAGCTCCTCCCACCTTGGACAAGCAGGTGGCACAGGCAGGGACACGGAGCCAGGGCCCTGCCCCAGAGAGCCCTCGCCACACCCGCAGCCTCTCCCCTCCCCTGCCAGAGGCTCAGGCCCCCCGAGGGGCTGCAAGGGTCCTCCTCAGCCCCTCCCGTCCCCAGCTGGAGGCCCAGGCCCCCCGAGGGGCTGCAGCTCCTCCCGCCTTGCGCAGGCAGGTGGCAGAGGCAGCGACACAGACTTGGGCCCCCAGGAAACGTCCCTCTCGTTTCAGGAGGATTCTCAGGGCTCTGGCCAGGCTGTTCCGTGCCTGCGCGCCGTGACTGCTCGAGGATTAGGCCCTGCTCCAGCGACTCCTTTCCAATACTTCCACAGAAAACGACTCTACCACTGACTTTGACACTTACTCCAATTCTTGACGAGTCCTGCAGGGATGGGCAAAGACAGGAGCTGTTGCTCCCACAACCTCCCTGCAGGACTGCTATATCCACGAGTATTCCTAAACAAACCGAAGATGGCTTTAGTATATTCACTAATTTAATTAATTTAATTCATAAGTTAAGTAACTATAGTTGTCATTAAGTATCCAGTATCTGTATCTCTTTAGTTCACATTTATAGTTAAATAAAGTTTATGTTAAATAAAATCCAAGTGTTGTCAGCAAATGGTCTCATTTACACCTTAATTAGGGCAGAGGCGTCTCTCCCTAATGGGATCGGAACACATGGGCAGGGACACCTTCCACTAGCCCAGGTTGCTCCAACCCCGTCCAACCTGGCCTTGGACACTTCCAGGGATCCAGGGGTAGCCACAGCTTCTCTGGGCCCCACCCTCACAGGGAACAGATTCTTCCTAAAAATCTCCCAGAGGTCACTCCCTGGGGCCAGGCTGGAGTGTGTTCCTCAGCAGCACTGCCTGCCTGGAACAGCTTGTGTCAGGCAGGAGGGGTTCCCCTGCTCCACCCTCCTCAAGGCAGCAGGGGGGCTGTGTTGTTCCTCACAGGTTCCTGTGGGATCAGCTGCAAGGCTCTCAGCAAGGATGTCCTAAAGGAGGCTGCCCTGGGAAAGCCAACATGCTGCAGCTCAACCAGGAAAAAGAATCCCCGAATCAGGAACATTGGAAAAGAGCTCCAAGATCATCGAGTCCAACCTGTGACCTCTCTGAGGTGGCTCCCTGAATCCCTGTACCAAGGAATTGTTCATCCAGGTGTTTTAGGAAGCGCCTGGACCAGTTTGACCAGCTGTGTGCTGTTCCCAGTTAACATTGCCCAGCTGACTTTCCCCCCAAGGACAAGGGCGATGTATTTGGAGCTGTTCCTTGGATATTCCTTAAAGAACAATTCATCCATGTCATTGTCCTGCCTGGGTTGCCAAAAGCAGCCTGTGGACACACACCTGCTTCATTTGTTTGTCCCTCAGTTGTAGGGAACCGAGATTATATGACCCTGGGAGAAACTTAAGGGGAACTTGGTAAGATAAAAACGGACGTGGTCAGATGTATCTTTGTGTGTGGGAAATTGCTTGGGAGTATTTTTCTCATGGACAGTGAATGCTTAACCAAAAAGTAGATGTAGAGAAAAGTTACTAACAGGAATTTACTGCTGATGTAACAGGGTATATAAACCATGAAAGAACTGTAATAAAAAATTCCATTATACCACGTGGGGTCCATGCCTGACTATGTCACGCTCAGTACTTACCCAGAGGGTCTCAGGTGCCATTGCCAAGTCCATCTCCGGACATTCCAGCCCCTCCATCATCACATCCAGAGCTCACAACAGCGTCCTACACACTCACACACTGCACAGGGTACCGGGGGGGCTGCAGGGGTGGGTTCTGTGAGCAGCTTCTGGAAGCTTCCCCCAAGCCCAGCAGGGCAGTGCCAGCCGGGTCCAGGACAGACCAAGGCTGAGCCCAGCAGAGACAGCAGTGATGCCTCCAGGAGAACAGACTGGAGAGGGGAAAATAAAGTTCTGGCAAAGATGGAATTGCGCTGCGAGAAGTGAGGAGTGAGAGCAGGGGAGAGGAAGAGCCCTGCAGAGCCCAGGGCAGGGCAGAAGAAGGGGCAGGAGGGGCTCCAGGCACCAGGGCTGAGGTTCCCCTGCAGCCCGTGGGCAGCCCATGGTGGGGCAGCCGCGTCCCTGCAGCCCCTGGAGGGTCACGGGGAGCAGAGACCCACCTGCAGCCCCCGGAGGAGCCCCCTGGAGCAGGGGGATGCCCGAAGGAGGCTGTGACCCTCTGGGAAGCCCATCCTGGAGCAGGGGCCTGGCAGGACCTGTGGATCCGTGGAGCAGGTTTGGTGGCAGGACTTGTGACTCTGCAGGGGACCCACAGGGGAGCAGTTCCTGAAGGACTGACCCCATGGAAGGGACCCCCACTGGATCGATTCCTTAAGGACTGATCCTGTGGAAGGACTCAAGCAGGAGAAGTTCATGAAGAACCGTCTCCCATGGGAGGAACACCACGCTGGACAGGGAAAGGACTCTTCGCCCTGAGGAGATGATGTTTGATGAAGTGACCATGAAACCCATTCCCCTTTCCCAACGTGATTTAGCTGTAATTTATTTAACAAATGTGGGTAGTGCCCTTCCTAAATCTTCGTTTGCAAAGCCTAGCCACGAACTGAACTGAAATTTATTATTTATTTATTTATTGTGCGTCTTGAACTCCACGTACAACCGGCCAGTGCAATAACAAAAATTAACTTTTCTATCCCAAATAGACCAAAAAACTAGGCATAAAACACCTAGGTTTTTAGTCTGTTTGGGATAGAAGACTAAACCCTGTGTGTTTGGTCTCACCTCTCACACCACCGGTCCCGGTATCTCCACAGGTGATTTTCGCGCTGGTGCAGCCGTGTGGTGACTTTGACTCACCCGCCCGCAGCACTTGGGGCTGGTTTCCGAACGGAACTCCACTGATGCTCCCGAGCGGCAGTTCCCTGCCCCTTTATCTGTCTGTGCCCCGGCCGGAGCGGGGCCGGCGGGAGCCGCTCTCCCCTCAGAGCGCTGAGGGCGCAGCGATGGCGGCGCCGCTCCCTCAGCGCCGCCCCGGGGCGGAGCGGGCGGCCTTTGGCGCCGGGCCGGGCCCGCGGGTGCTGCGGGCTGCGCTCGGCCATGGCCGCCCCCGCCGAGCCCGGGGACCCGCCCGGCTTCCAGAGGCCGCCGGCGATGCTGCGGCTGAAGCGCAAACGCCGGCAGAGGAGCGAACCCGCCGCCGCTGCCACCGCCGCCGCCCCGGCCCCGCGGGGCCTCTCCGCGCCCGCCCGCCGCAACCCCTTCTCCAGCCTGAACAACAACGCGCCTCGGCGGGCGGCGGCCCCTCAGCCCCCGGCCCCGGCGGGCGGGGATCCATCGGCAGCGCCCTTCTGGCAGGTGGGACCGAGCCCCGGCACCGGGGGCTCTCCGCGTGGCGCCGGAGAGGCGAGGGGAGACGCGGGGAGGGGACTCGGCGCCCTCGCCCTTTAGCGCCGTCGCCATCAGCCCTCGCCCTCGGCGCCATCTCCCTCAGCCCTCACCCTCAGCGCCATCGCCCTCAGCCCTCACCCTCA